GGTGCCAAACTGAAGCAGGTTTGGGTGGAATAGCGGGAGGGAATTCCTCGCTGAGAGGGTGGCGAGGCCCTGGAACGGGCTGCCCGGAGAAGCTGTGGGCTTCCATTCCTGGAAGCGTTCCAGGCCGGCTTGGAAGGGGCTGGTTTTGTGGGAGGTGTCCCTGCCCCAGGCAGGGGCTGGAAGGGACGTTACATCCCAGCCCGTTCTGTGATTTGGGGATGAAGGGGAACAGAGCGGCCCCTTTCGCCTCCACCCCTCAGGGCGATTCGGGGGTGGCAGGAGGCCCCAGAGCAGGGGAGAGGGGCAGGGGCTGGCCCTGGATGCGGAGCTGGAGCTCCCGGTGCATCCCCGGCATCATCGCAACTCAGCACAGGCACACTGTAGGAGCTCCTTGGACATCACAGAGGTTATGAATTCACCAGAGGTTATGAATTCTGGCTTTGCCACGTGAAAGTGGTGGTGTGTTTTCCAGGAACACGCTTCTGTGTGTTTTCATGATAAAAGCACTCAACTAAAATTTTTTTTCGAGGCCATTCTGTCCATAATTCAGATATCCTGCAGTCCCAGTGCTTTTCACCAAGATTAGTTTAGAAATTATTATATGCAAAAGTACTGTTGAGGTATCTTTAATATGTTTGTGTCAGTCAGGTTTCCTTGGCCATCAGTCTGGATTCAATTAGTGCCTACAGAGGCAGGAGGAAGGTGAATTGTAAATGCAGGTCTATAAATAACACCCCGCAGTTTAAACTTTGCAGAGATTCGCTTCAAAATATCCCTGACCCCATGAGCTAATTAGATCCATCATGTTATCCGTGATGTTCCCCCAACCTTATTGTTTGCAGATGACTGCCCAAGCCCCCTCATTAACACGAATAATTTCCTACTTTGTGATCTGGTGCTTGGCTTCTCAACTGTGCTTCAGCAGACGATAAAATGTGTAGAAAACAAGTCAGGTTTCTGTAATCTGGTTAACAGCTAGTTAATCAGCAAGACATGGATGGGACAAAAGAGGGCACTCTAACTCTTAAAATACAAAAAAATCTCCACTACTGAGCGCACACACTCCTCAAGTTTAATATTATTATTATTTTTTTTTTATGTTCTTATCCGTTATGTGAGCACTATTAAAAAGGTATCATAATATTTTTCAGGGGGCGAGGAATCATCATGTAGGGGTAATTCCAATACCTTAATGGTGATTGAGGAGATAACAAAATAGCTGTGAGGAGATAACAAAATAGCTGTAAGGAGTTGTGTGGGCTATGACTTGGGAAATTACAGATTTGTAGCTCACAACTGTCTTTATGGAAGAGAATTGGATGTTTCAGTGTCAGGGAGTCACTTTTAACTCCCAGACTGACCACTTTGGATTGCAGGCTAACAAAACCACTCTGATGGGCTGGAACTGCCCTGAGCTCAGGGAACTTCCCCTGAGGTGCCCTACAGGGCCTAGAAACTTGTCCCTGTGTATTTCCCAATTCCTGCGTGGGTTGTTGAGGCACCCTGGCATCAAGGCACTGGAACAAGTGTTGTTTGATCTCTTTTTCAGGAACAGCTTTCTTGAGTTTGAAATGCAGGAGCAAGACACTCCCCTCGAGTTTCTTCATTCTGTCACATCAGACAGAAGGAGAAGGGCTGCCTCCCTATTCTTCTTGCCTATATAACAAAATCTATGAGAATATGAATCGCTTTACTGTCACTGGGATAGGATGAGGCTCATAAATGAAAGGCATCACTGTTCTCAGGTGATACAACAAAGGAGGGCAATAAAGATGGTGAAGGGCCTTGCGGGGAAGCCCCATGAGGAGTGGCTGAGGACACAGCTTGTGCAGCCTGGAGAAGAGACTGAGGGGAGACCTCACTGCAGTTACAACTTCTGGTGTGGAGAGAGGAGAGGCAGAGGATGATCTCTTCTCTCTGGTGACCAGTGACAAGCCCTGAGGGAATGGCCTGAAGCTGTGTCAAGGAAGGTTTGGGTTGGATGTTAGAAAAAGGTTTTTCCCCCAGAGGGTGGCTGGGCGCTGGAACAGGATCTTCCCCAGGGAAGTGGTCACAGCACCAGCCTGACAGAGTTCAAAAAGTATTTGGATGATGCTCTCGGGCACAGGATGGACTTGATGATCCTTGAGGCTCCCTTCCAACACAGCTTATTCTGTGATTAAACAGACTTTGGTACTTCTCTGAATTAATTCTGACTGAGTTAAACTTATTTCTAGTCCCTCCTGTCCAATCCTGGGGATGCTCACTTATGGTTCCTTACTACTCAAATCTGAGTTTCTTTGGGAAGGAAAGCAGGACAGGTAGTAAATGGTGCTTAGCCTGATCCTCTCTCATCTGTGGAAGTAAAATGTGACCAAGATCTTCCATTGAATGCCCTCCTTCATGTTAGTGTCTTTGAAGTCTCCTCCCTTATTTCAACACCCTTCCTGAAGTATTTGTTTCAAAACTGAACATGGCAGTTCAGCAGTGCTCGCAGTCACCCCAAACACCCTCAGTTATCCAGCTGGACAAACAGCCACCTCCAGCCTATTTTAAACCCAAATCTCTTTTGACGTCAGCATTTCAGTGTCTCCCTCCCTTGATGTATCAATAAAGTCAAGAGATTATCTCCCAGGTCAGCAGTACAACTGATCCTTCTTTGCACTGCCTTGGTAAAGATTTCACTGAACGATGGTCCTGCTCATTAGAGGAAAAAAGGCCAATGTTTAAGGAGGAAGTGTTTTGCTCTCCACATTCTTTGTCACTCTGAGCCATCCGTTTTTGATTTCTGTGCTTTAACTCAGCTTTGTTGTAACAAAGGCTGAAGAACAGACCTTCTCAGACCATATGCTGCATTTGCAAGGTAAAGGAGGGGTGCGCATTTCTGGTGTGGAGATGCCCAACAGATTGTACTGGCCTGAGCTGACCTGCTGACCTGGATTTAACCTGCTCCTGTCCCCAGAAATGCAGTGCTTCAGCCCCAGCACCACCAGGAGCAGGGCTGTCAGTATCACCTTCCAAAACAGTCTGCATTGCAGGCTGAGATCCCAGAGATTTCCTCTGAACACCTGAGCCATGTTGCAGCAGCCCCAGCACAGCTGTCTGTGGCCTGTCAGAGGGTGTGAAGAAGGGAGTGAGTTTTCATGTTGCCCAAGGGAACATGGATGTATTTTTGTAGGAAACACAGCCAAAACCTGCTGTTATTATTACTGTGTCTCTAAAGAAAAAGAGATATCTGTGAGGGGCTAAGCTGCTCTGGAGATTTGGCCTGTTGTCCCTTAGGAGTTGAGAAGAGGCAGCTGGATGTCCCCAGATTACAAAAGAAGTGGGACTGGCTCATGGAGAGCCTCTCCACCTCATCTTCTAGCTAAACTACACCCATTTCAACCTGTCAAGCTATTCATAGGTGCTGTAGCCCCAGCAGTGGCTGGTGGAGCAGACATATCTCCTCTCAGACTGTCCAGAGGTACCTGAATCCTTCAGGCTCTCTTGCAAACCTGTGTCAGCAGAGACACAAGGCCATGCCTGGATTCCTCTGTGTCCTGTTTATCCCAGGTACCAAAGCAGCCCTATAAACTACTCTGGAAATGTTTGAGTGTAGTGGACTTTATTGAAACCTTGAAACAATCTGATGTAAGTTCTAGTCTTTCTGGAAGCTTCCCTTTAATGAGGCATGAGTTATTGGTTAACTTAAGGTGATTTGACCTAGCTGAAAATAATCAAATCCCAAAATGTCACTTAAAATGACCTCAGGTGCCAGACCCTTCTGTGAAGAGCAGCTGCTCATTAAGGTGGCCATCAAGCATCCACAATTACATTTTCTTCCTTACTGTAGAGCAAGCAAAGAGGAGAGGGAGAGCTGTTCTTCAGACACAGCATCCCAGCACTGAGCTCAGGAAAGCGATGGACTGGAAAATTTTCCGCTCCTTCTGTCAAAACAGCCGCGGGCCTCGGTTGTTTTGGAGCCTGGGTTGTTTTGGAGCCTGGGTTGTTTTGGAGTGTGCATCCTGCAGGAGCCACACACAGTTAACCCCGCCAGGCCAGTGCCTGCTCTCCCCTCTGTGCAGTGCTGGGAAAGGGCTCACATCTGCTCCTCTGAGCCTGAGGCTTCCAGAGGGCCTCTGGCAGCAGCCATGGCTTCTGTGGCACATCACTGCCGTGTTCATGCACACCCATGCTCCTCCATTTCCTTTTCCCTTTGTTGCATTCCAGCCCTGGAGGGTAAATTGTTATTGTATAACAATATGTATGGGCGAGGAAAAAAAATATGTGCCAGTGATTTCTGTCAGGGTGCAGGGGATGTATAAAATGTGATCTGTTTTGTTGGTAGCTTTGCCAGTGCCTCAGTAGATGCTGACTCTGTGTTCAGAGTCAGAAATGTCTTTAATTTCCTCTTGGAATCTGTGATGTTTTAAGATCATTGAGAATTTGAGCTGTGTGGCTTTGTTGTTTTTCTTGTCTTATGCTCTTGATTATGTCCCCACTCCTCTTGATTACGCCCCCACTCAGAATTCTGTTTCCTCTGGGATGTGTGGCACCCTTACAGGTTACGGAAGGGAACTGGCTGACTTCAGCATTTATAAAACATTTGATTCTACTAAATTTCTGATTTAGTAAAAAATTTTAAATAGGAATTGTGTCTAATATGGAAGACAACGTTGAAATTACTCCAATAATCCAATAAACTGTGTAGAAGGTATATAATTGCTTAGAGGTTAAAAGAGTGAGATGTTATGAGTTTG